AACCGTGCCTCCTCCAGCACTCCTCTTCCCCTCGAGCGCCGTCGTCGCCCAGCCGACCCACCACCACTGCCAGCCATCGTGCGACGACCGCCGCACACCTCCCAGCAGCCGATCCTCCTTGCTCTGCATCTTTTGTAACCGAAACAGGGCTATCACGGCAACTCACATCTGCTGCCCTTGTTTCCAGCCGCCGACGTCGCCTCGAGCGCCGTCGCCGTCGCCTTCCAGCCGCTGCTCCCCCGTGCGACGACCGCCGCTCGCCTCCCAGCCGCTGCTCCCGCTCGCTTCCCAGCCGCTGCTTCCCCTTGCTCTGCATCGGTGGTGACCGAAACAGGGCAGTTACCACCGTCGCAGTCGCGGGTCCCCTTGCTGCTGCGAACGCCGGTTGCCACCACCGTCGTCACTGTTGCCCAGCCAGCGACGACGCCGCTCGCCGCCCAGCCTGCCACGACCCTCGCTGCCTCCTTCTCCACCGCCGCCGCTGCGCTCCGGCCAGCAACGACTGCTGCTGCTAGCCACCGCAGCCTTCACCTCAACCCCTTCGATCTGCACCGTTGCTGCAGCCCACCTTGCTCTGCATCGTTGCCGCAGCCTCAACCCCGGCCGCTTCAACGCCACCTCCCTCTTGTTCTGCCTCCGCTGCTGCAGTTGTCGGTTGCCATCATCGCAGCGTCAACACGGCTGCTCGGCGATTGCTTCCTTGGGTTACAACAGTCGCAACCGTCGTCTTATCTCACGCAGTGACACAAACATAGGGTAGCTACTCTTCCTCTAACGCAACGACCGCAGCACTGCCTTGGCGTCCACCTCCTCGGCAACTTCGCATCGATAATGTTGATGCCATTGACCCGACACCAAAAACAGGAGTTGAGATTACAGATTTGCAGTCTTACGCAATGGCCATTGATAACTCGGTGAAAGCACAAATGGAAGCATTGGAAATCAGAATTGAGAATCGACTGCAAGAAACACTTAATGATTTCAAAAAGAGCCTAATGCCTCAGCAAATTTCAACAAAATGGGGGCTCAAGTTCTACGTTGCATAGATCTGAAAATACAGGAAAAAGGTCCCAATATTATGACACAAATTACTCACACATGAAGATGGAATTTCCGAGATGGAAAGATGGAGATCCGACCAATTGGATCTCTAAGGCAGAAAATTTTTTCCATCTTTACAGAACCCTAGAAGAATCCAAGGTAGAAGTGGCCTCAATCCAACTCGAGGGAGATGCACTCCAGTGGTACGATTGGTATGAAACTTTCCACGGAGTTCCTTCGTGGGAGCAGTTCAAAAGAGGGCTTCTTGTTCGCTTTGGCCCATCCAAATATGAGAATGTTGATTGCCAGCTTGCCAAAATTCGTCAGACTTCTACAGTGTTAGAATATCAGAGTAGGTTTGAAAGATTGTCAAATCAAGCTAGAGATTGGTCAGACCGACAACTTCTGGATACATTTATTGAAGGGCTTATTCCAGAGATCCGGTGTGAAGTTAAGGCTCGTTAGCCCCGCACTATGATAGCTGCGATCTCATTTGCACATCTACATGAGAAAAAAATTAGCAAGGAAAGATCAGCAAGGGGTTTGTACTATGATGAAAAACGGAGTATGGAGCACCAATGTAGGGCAACATCTGATGATTGAGCCAATTAGAGAGGAACCGAAAGCAGAAGAGTTGGACTCCGATTATGAAGGTATGGAAACTGATGAAGATATTGAAGCCATCACACATACAGTGCATGCATTGGCTGGCTATGCTAACCCACAAACTATGAAAATCGGAGGAACTTTGAAGCATCAACCTGTCACTATTTTGATTGATACAGATAGCACTAATAATTTTATGGACAGGAAAATTGCAGCCCAATTGCAGCCCAATTAGCCCACCACATTGAAGGCTGTGATATATTCGAAGCTGATGGACAAATCTTAACTTATGATAGCAAAGGCCAGGAATTTCTTACAACGATTACTACACTGAAAGATCGACCTATTGCTTACACTGTCAAAAAGTGGAGATCATACTTACTTGATCAACGGGTTGTGATGCGTTGCAGATAGTCTATGGCTAGTGCTGAAAGAGAAGCTCCCCGAGATTGATGCTGCTCAGCCTTGAGGACAAGACTGATTTGAAGAGGGAGGAACTGTTAGGACCCTTTTTCTGAGCTTTTGAATAATGTTTATTGAGTCTGTTTAGTCCAGTTGTTTATTGAGTCGGTTTGGTTCAGTTAGAGTCAAGTAGAGGTTTATTTAATATTTATTTATTATTAAAGTTCAAGTCCTGATGGACTCTGGGTGGAACTCTATAAATAGGGATGTAACTACTTCTTTTCGGTAATCTATGAAAAATACTATTGTCTTTGGACAAACCCTAGGAGGCCGATCCCCTCGAAGTGATCAAGGAGGGCCGATCCCCTCAAAGAGATCAAGGAGGGCCGATCCCCTCGAAGCGATCAAGGAGGGTCGATCCCCTCGAAGCGATCAAGGAGGCTGATCCCCTCGAAGCGATCATTATCATCCACATTTCTCCCATTTCTTCCACGATAAGACTTTAGGGTCTTATCATTTGGTATCAGAGCCTACGATAAGACTTTAGGGTCTTATCACTTTTACTAAGTGCTTTCAAACCATTGACGACATCCGTAAAACGGTGTACATGTCAACAATGGATATCATGTACAATTTCACAAGTCGAAATACGATTAAACTCATTTTTGTCCAAAGCACAAAATAAAACATTCATAGCTTTAGCATTTAATGAAAATAATTTTCTCAAAATTATTTCATTTATTCATAGGTTTAGAGGGTGTTCGAAAATCAAGTTCAATGACATTCCACAAATTGAAATCCATAGAAAGTAAAAAAAAAATTCATTCATGTTTTCCAATATGTATAGTTCATCCCATTGAACATAGGAGGACGAGTGATAGAGTAACCCTCTTGATAGCCAAAAGAAGCAATTTAATCTCTCTTGAGTGTAAAACCAACCGAGACAAACTTGGCTCTAATACCAATTGTTATGACCGTTTTGGCACTAAGAGGGGGAGGTGAATTAATGCTTTCATAAAATTACATCGATTTGAAATTTTCATTGCCGTATCGGAAAAGAGTTTAACTTGAGATGTTCATAAAGTAGTGAGCAAGTAAATCAGCTAGTAATGAGAATGAAAAGCATAATAGAAATGCAAACCAAGTTTATAGTGGTTCGGTCGTCGTGACATACGTCCACTCCCAATTCCTCTTCTGTCGAGGCCATCGGCGTTCACTAATGATATTTTTTCAATGGGCAAAAGACCAACTACTCTCTTATAACTCTTTCTCCTTTTCACAAGCTCACGAGAGAACATTTACGCCTACCTTTACATTTCTCTTTTAGACCTCACTCCTAACTTTTTTCTCAAGTATACTTTTCCCTTTTTCACTCTATTTCTTACTACCCCAAGCAGAAAAGAGTAGGGTATTTATAGCCCCCAAATAGCTTCAAATATAGAGCCAAAAAAAAGTCTCATCCCGGATTTCTCGAGTCCTTACAGTACCATCGCCATTACTGGGCGATACCACCCTTTGTCAGGCTGACAACTAGCGATACCATCGCGCAGTCTAGGTGGGTACCATCACCTACCAGACTAACACTAAGTGATACCACCGCGTAGTCTGGGCGGTACCACCACCTGACACCAGTAGTACCACCGCTCGAGTTTCTCGGAGACGTACACTATTTCACAAGCGATTCCACTGCCTGACCTGGCGGTGCCACCGCTTAACCTAACCCTGGGTCACTGAATATGCCTTCCAAAGAGCCTAACTCAACCCCAACTTAGGCCCAATGAGCCCCTAATTGAGTTGGCACGGTTACCCCCCAAAACCGACTCAATTAGACAAACTATCTCGATATAGACACACACGATTACAAGACAAGAATACTATGTTGTTTGGCATGTCATTCGTTCATCCGATGCTTCGTCTGATCATTCGACGCATCATCCTCTTCTTCGATGTATTACCCAATCGACATGTTGACCTTCCACAATATCCAATCTCCTTGCACAATGTTTGATCCTTCGACCCGATGTCCGAACTCATGGCACGAAGTCCTTCCGTTACGTCGACTAATCCTCCGACCCAACGTCTAATCTTTTTATATGTTCTACTCCGACCCAATATTTGATTCATCATACTTCAATCAAATTATCTTTTCATGATCGAAAATAATCCTACATCACTCAAACGCATATTAGATTATAACTTTATCAATTGATTTCATTATCAAAATCTATGATTCAACACAAAAATCATGTTGAAAATGTATAATCTTCATTTATAAGAACGATAAATACACTAATGGTTCCAAGCATATCGATATAAAATACATGATTATTAAAGAAATAGTCCAAAAATAATGTGTTAATTAAAAGCCTAATCATCACTTTGATGATTGTTGATTAATTTATTAAAGTTTTACGATCTAATATGTTTATTGGTTACGACAGCACCAAAGAATTTAAGTGCACAAACTATAATGGCCAATAATCTAATATAGTGAAATACAAAAACTTTTGATCAGCACGATATGAATATGATACATTCACCATAGCCTAACAAAATTTAGCCTCCTCTAGGCAACAATATCAGGTATAGAATTTCATATATAGAATTCAACTCCAAAAAAAAATTAGTTACAATATTTTTGTATCGATCTGCAGTATTTTCAAACCAGAGGTATACAAAGTACCACAGGAGAATAGCAGTTCAAGAGCTCCCACTCCATTCCTCGTAGAACTCTGCTAAGAAGTCCTCCATGAACTTGTGTCTTTTCTCTGCTCTATTTTTGCCAGCCTAAAATAAATTAAAAGAGAAGATAGGACGAATCAATCAATTAGCGTAGAAACAAAAATCACAATAATGCCAATGTTAGATGACAATTATATTTAATACATGGAAGCATAAGTTTACGATCTTGGTTTTTCTTTAAAGGTCCAACGCACATGTACATGGAAACCTTGACAATCTGGTAAACGATGACAGTAATGAGGCAAAACAATGATCTGAAAATCAAAAGAGAAAGCTAGTGGGAGCTTAATTACAGAACACTTTCCTTATCTAAGAATGCATACGTGTTCCGGTTTGATTATTTATAAATGTATCCAGGCATAAGAAATTTGGACCTAGAATGAAATATAAAATAGCAGGCAGAATAGAGTTGAATTTGCTTCAAGGATTAAGATCCCTACCGTGTTTGCATATGCAGTATTATGTTGATTGATGAAATAATTTCTGAATAGTAGAACAAATTTCAATTATTAAACTTCTAGTTTCAATACCTTTGTCTTCATCAAATCCTTCAGTTTGAAAAGCTTCTCATGAAAATGATTTACTGAAGTCTGTTTTCCATCTTTCATCATATACTTCTCTTTTGTTAAACCCTGCCTTGGTGGTATCTCAGGATCGTAGAGTATATGGTTCTTACTTCCACCATATGTGAAACACCGAGCAATTCCTGAAATCAAGTGAATAGAGAAAGCTTCCAAGTTACTTTTGTTTCCAAAGCATGCACACTAGTCACAGAACTGTGGGGCTTTACCTCCATTGTTCATCTAATGCAATTATCTGACTGACTGATGTCACATTAAATTCTAAAAAAAAACATAGGAAGGACCAAGAAGTTGTTACATCAAAATAAAGATTTCTAAAGGATTGTAATACTATAATTGAAAAACAGAAGGTGAGCAGTGATGTGAAAGATATATAACTGAAAACATCTTAGCCAATATTCTATGATTTCTCAACTCATGAAAAAATATGTTATGTTGCAATTTAACAGATCAAAACATTTCCAACAAAAGATATGAAGTGAGCGTCAAGAACCATGATGGGATTTAGGCAAAGTTGACAAGGAAGCATGCCATTATATAAGTAGATCAAAGCTAGACATTTCACTTTCAATTTTGCCACCACTGATCTGTGAGACATAATAGTTTACATGTGTGGATGCAATAAAAAGTTCCCCTTGAAGATTTGTTTAGAAAGCAGATCAATATAGAGTTGGAAGTTTCTAGCAAATTCTTTTGCAATAAACAGTTCCTTGCAGATTTGTTTAAAAAACAGTTTAATAGATGCTACCAGTTGTCATTCAAGAAACAAAATTTAATGACTGCATCTAATTCAACCAACTTTTCTTCCCACTGCCACCATCTAATTCAATCTCCTTCTTACGATCAAGTCCTTATTCCTTTCTCTTTGATTCTTAATTCCTCTATTTATTTCTTACAATAATGAACATGCAATTTAACATCACTCTGCAACATAACACTCAACTAGGACACATAAACTACTAGAGAAGGTCCACTAATGGTGTGCCCTTGTATGTATCAAGTCATTCAACATTGCAAGAGACACCATGCAAGTATGACATGCGATCCAGAGAACAGCTGGTGCATCATGACCAACAGGCAATCCTTGCTGACTTGATTACCTCTTGTGTCTCCTTTCCACTTAATTCTCCTTTGTACGCATAAATAATCTTTCTACATCTTGCAGCTCTATAAGCAAAACGAAAAGACTGGAGCAGAAAAAAAAAAGAAAAGCAAGGATATGTGTTTTCCATGATTATGTCAGTTTGATCAAAGGCATTGCCTCCACTATCAACATACAGAGGATGTACTAACTCTTAAATATAAGGAATTTACCAATAGCACCAATTGCATCAAGTCGGTCAGCGTCTTGAACAATGCAGAATTCTAGAGAAGAATCAGGAGATGATGTAGATGCAACTTCATTTTTAAATCCTGAAATTGAAGAAAACATAATAACATTGAAATATATTCTGCATGCTAGTGTAGTTGACAATAATTAGCGGAAAAAAAGACCATCATTATTAGCAACTTCACAGAAATAAACCCAATATTTACAACTGAACATCAACAAGGAGAACAGGCACAGAGTAAGTACATGGGAAACAAGAATATAAAGCCAATTTGCAGAGTGATAAACCTAAACTGAATATCAATAAAGAGAAAAAGCACAGAACAAGAATATGCTAAATGACAATATAAGGGATTATCTGGATGACTATAGGGATTACCAAAAAACTCAAATCCCAAGTTGGATGATACGAACTTCAGTTCTGAGAGATGGTACAAAATTATGAAGGCACGAATCTTTTGCTTCTTGGAAAGCTGGGAATTCCACTTGTACTTGTCCCATGCAAAGTCTTAAATCTTGGCTGCCAGCAGCCAGACCAATATGATGTTTGTTACAGACTGCCATATCAGCACCCCATTCAAGTTGGTACTGCTAAAACTAAGAGGAGGGAGAGAAGAGGAGGGGAGGAGGAGACGGAGAAGAGGAGAGAGGGAGGGAGAGGAGCAGAGGAGGAAGAGTAAAAGGAGCTAGAAGAGGAGAGGACAGGGAGAAGAAAAGAGGAAGAGAAGGCGGTGGTGAAGGAGGAGAAGGTAAGAAGGAGATGGAGGAGGAATAGTGAAGTCAAACAAAGCGATGACAATGGCAATGAAGTGGGGCAACGGCAACGACAACGAAGTGACCACAATGCCGAGGGGTGATGACTAAGATGACATAGCAGGGTTGCAGAAGCAAGGTTGCTAGGAGAGGAGAGGGAGATGCATGAAAGAGAGAGAATGATAGAGGGAGAGAGCATGGGAGGAAAGCATAAAAAAAGAGTTGTCTGGAAAAATTTTCTGAAAATGATAGGACCATAGGGGTAGCTAGGCCGGATATAGTCAAACATATTAGGTGGTAAGCTTGACTTCCGCTGGTCAACATATGGCCTTGTCTAAGTTCAATATTCATCCACAAAAGGACAGCCTCCCCATAACCTCGGGTAGTCCATAGGGGCAAAAAACTGGTTAGGGAACAAGCGAACGCATAGGCAAGCTACCATCGTCACTTCATTGATGCATACACTTAGGATCCCACAAATAGACATTAGATCAAACATTTTAGAGGCAATGCAAAGTACAGATACAAACTTCACAAACTTTGAACAAGCACGCCACGAAAGAACCAAGGCAGCCCATCCGCAAAGTACCACACGCACAAGTGCCCATCCAACACTTCGATGAAACCAAGCGACGGCCCAACACTACTTCAGGGCCCCATGCAACTTTGTTCCACCCGAGGTTCTACGATGCTGAGATGGCTGAAATTTTGGACCGCATCTCTGATTAAGGAAAATCTAACAAGTTGCAGGCTAGAGCCGTTTTTGGATAGTTTTGCCTTCACCCAATGATCGCATGTGACATGCAATCACAAACAAGAAACAACCACAAAAACCATCTAAAATGTGGTTGCCAAGTCTACTGAAGCGCTTTACATGCTGCCTAAAGCATGAACAAACCAAAAAAAATAAACATTACATCAAACACCTTTGCTACGATTAGTTTGTAGTCTGTACATTCTTCCCCAATTATTCCTTCAATGTCCTCATCGAAGCCTTTACAGATGCTACATCTCCTTTCTTGCATCCTTAGTACTCCTTTAGTGACAATGCACCTACCGACTCCCACCTGGTCTCGACACTACTGTTGAGTAGTCAACTTTAATTCGCTACTACTGCTTCGAGTCACCAATGACTCTAATTTGAATATTGGACACTGAAACCTATTAATTCCTTTTTTTAAGTATTTCATTTTAAGTGATTGATTTCATGTTAGCATGCTTTTTCATTTATGTTAAATAAAAACATGCATCAACGTTTAGGATCGAAAAATGAATTTCATCATAAAACCATCAAGATCAATAAACCACAAAAATCATCATGTATAACTTTAAAATCTCATGCACAAAATCGTCAAATCATGGTATCAAAATTTCAATATTTTCATTATAACCTTATGCATTACTTCAAATCAAATATGATTTCATTAAAAATCGAGAAATAACAATGGAAATCAACATGATAAACATTATTACTTCTTAACCATGATTTCATATTTTCAATCAAAATCATTTTGTTTGTTTATCATAAAATATGTAATATTATCATTTTCAAAATTACTAGTATGATCATAATTTTTGTATTTTTATTTTTAAACATGTAATTTTTAAGAAAATTAATTCTAAACTAAAAAAGAAAATACATCATGAAAGCATCAAGTAATTTCAAAATAAATTAGGGGGATTTCGATTACCTCATCATTGAAAGCGGTTAAAGCGTAGTTTGCCACCTCGTCTTTCTTGATTTTCTCCTCGTCTTCGGAGGAGCTCGATTCATCCCAATTTGTGTTCTTCTTTGGCCTCTTCCTTCGTTCAAGTTTATTGTTTATTTTAGATTTTTGTTTAATAAACTTATTAAGATTTAGTATTCGAAGTTCAAGTTCATCATTGTCCTCATCACTTGAGTCATTGCTCAAGTGGTATTCATTTGTCCGGAGTTCCAAATCCTTCCTGTTCTTTGGAAGGTGATTTTGTTCATCATGTGCATTGTGCACCATTTCATATGTCATCAACGAACCAATTAGTTCTTCAAGTGGTAAGTTGTTTAGGATTTTAGCTTCTTGTATTGCAGTTACTTTTGAATCCCACTTCTTAGAAAGAGAACGCAAAATCTTGTTTACGAGTTCAAAATCCGAAAAACATTTTCCAAGAGCTTTTAAACCATTGACGACATCCGTAAAACGGGTGTACATGTCACCAATGGTTTCGCTTGGCTTCATTTGAAAAAGCTCGAAATCATGCATCAAAAAGTTGATTTTGGACTCTTTCACTCGGCTAGTGCCTTTATGAGTGACCTCAAGAGTTCTCCAAATATCAAAACCCGAATCACACATCAAAACGCGATTAAATTCATTTTTGTCAAGTGCACAAAACAAGGCATTCATAGCCTTTGCGTTTAAAGAAAAATACTTCTTCTCCAAATCCGACCATTCGTTCATCGGTTTAGAGGGAAATTGAAAATCGTTTTAACAATATTCCATAAATCCAAATTCATAGAAATCAAAAAAACTCTCATTCGAGTTTTCCAATAAGTGTAGTCCAATCCATTAAACAACGGTGGACGAACAACCGAAAAACCCTCTTTAAAGCCATGAAGAGCCATTTCTCTCGGGTGTAAATCCGAAATAAGAAAATACCGGGCTCTGATACCAATTGTTAGGATCAAGAGCACTAAGAGGGGGGGGGGGTGAATTAGTGCAGCAAATAACTTTCGACGATTAAAATTGCGTTCGTACGATAAAAGCGATTTACGTCTAAACGCCGATTCGGAAAATACTGAACTTTGAAACACGATCGTAAATGCGCAGAAGGCAGTAAGTTATTGAGGAGGTTTGCAGTAAAGATAATATGCTCAAAGTAAATGCAAACCAGAGAAACGAGAGTTTATAGTGGTTCGGTCAATCGTGACCTACATCAACTCCTCCGATTCCTCTTCCATCGAGGCCACCGGCATCCACTAACGATCTTCCTTTACTAGGCGAAGATCAATCTCCTTCTTACACCCCTCTTCTCCTTTTACTGGGTTTAGGAGACAACCCTTACAAGCACTCACTCTCCTCTCTTAAACAGAATTCTAACACTTAAGCTAGAGGAGGGAAATTCTAGAGATTGCAACAGCGTTTTCTCTCTTTTAATCTCTTTGTGCTTGTGTCTTTTACCCAGGGATGGGAGGGATATTTATAGGCTCCAAACCAGTTTGAATTTGGAGCTCAAAACTGTCATCACCCGGAATTCCAGGGTTTGGCGATTGCACCGCTCGGCAGAGCTCGGAGACTGAGCCTCTGGGCGGTGCCACCGCTTGTCAGGGGCGGTTGCACCGCTTGGCAGAGCTCGGAGACTGAGCCTCTGGGCGGTGCCACCGCTTGACAGGGGCGGTTACACCGCCCAGTCTCGCTCAGAGACTGAGCCCTGGCGGTGCCACCGCCTGTCAGGGGCGGTTGCACCGCCCAGCTTTCCTGGGAGACCCTTTCCTGGGCGGTGCCACCGCCTGCCTAGGGCGGTTGCACCCCCCAACTTTCCTGGGAGACCCTTTCTTGGGCGGTGCCACCGCCTAGTAAGAATTCTAGTCCGAATGGGTTGATCCATTCGGCCCAATTTGGGTCTGTCAAAGGCCCAATTGCCCCCAGATTAAGTTACTCATTCCTAACTTAATCTACATGCTAACTACGACAATTCTTAAGACATTTACTACAGCTTGCTCCGGTGCGTCAATCGCTTCTTCCGGCGAGCTTCCGGCGAACATCTGGCGATGCTCCAACCGACTTCCGGCAAACTCTTGGACTTGCGACGATCCACTTGACGAATTCCGACGAGCTTCTTTTGGCAAGCTCCTGGACTTCTCGGATTTGTTCCCGCAGAACCTCCGACGACCGTCCGGACTTCCGTCAAGCTCTCAACTCCCAATGTGGTTATAGTCTTTGACTCCGGCTCAACTCTTGCTGCATATCTTACTTTCATCGTAGTTAATCATGCACACTTAAAACAAAACTTCGATCGAGACAATTAATCCTAAGCAATTAACTAAGTTGTCTGGCATGTCATTGGTCCCTCGACGCTTCATCCGATTCTTCGGCGCATCGTCCTCTCCTGCGACCTATTGCCCAATCGGCCAGTTGACTCCGCAACTCCGATATCCTTGGCGCAATACCCGCTTTTCTTGGCCCGATGCCCAAGTCCACGGCCCGAAGCCTTCTGTCGATACGTCGACCGATCCATCGGCCCGACATCCAATCTTCTGACATGTTCCTCCGGCACAACATGATTTTTCCTGCTTTAATTGTCTCATCCTGATCGAAGCATCCTGCGTCACTCAAAACGCAGATTAAAATATAAA